CCATTTTCCTTGACCACCGCCGTCTGGGGTCGTCGTTCGATGACGGGATTCCCGGCCACCTTAGAGTACGTGAGTCAAGGATGGGCACGAGAAGTGGCAGCATTCTTCATCGGAGAGCGGATTGGTGAAAGTTGAGATCGTGACTGCTGGAAGCGGGTTTGGGCCATGGGCTCAGATCGAAAAAGGTGAGACTGACTTCTAGATGTGTTGTTCCCACAGACGGCGCCAAATGTTTGAGCTCGAATTTGGTGAGCTCGGGTACGAAGTAGATCGGAATGGTTAGAACGAACTACAACCAACTGCCCAGCACCCTCTCCGAACACTCTCGAGACCTGCAAAACAAAGTTAGCACTCCGACGAGCAAGTCAGTTCTGGTCCGAGCTAACTTGCCGAGTCTTCCTAGAATTGCGTACCTTGCATTTAAGGCTAAAGTTTCTATTTATAGAAACTGGGTCCGACAGGAACTCTGACACACCCTAAAAATACGGCGTGTTGTCGGGTTCGGAAGAGACACGTTTACGGACTTCGTTCAGGTCGGCTCATCCTCTTAGCTCGGTCTGTAACCGCTGACCTGAACAATCCTTAGGAAAATTTCTAATTCCATCAGCACGTCAAATCGGCTTACCTCTCTTACCGTGACACGTGGCAGGTCCCAATTCGCATCCAACAATATATGTGAGGTATCCGAATGGGCAACGACAGTTTTAAGGATAATTTTTTAGATTATAAAACATCTAAACTATTACTATCAATAAATTATTGAGACCAAATTAAAATTAAAATCACAAATAACAAATAACAAGTAACAAAAGCCAAAGCTTAAGCTCAACTGATTACATTTCAAAATGTAGAGTATCACAATGCCATTGGTATCTTTCTCATGTTCATTCATTCGGTTGTCAAATTAGAGTTTTTTTCATTGATTCAATTGATACATATATACAAAAACTATTCCATGTTTTCCTAAATCAAATAAGGAAATTAAATAAACAAAATAACAAAGGAAACTAGAATCTTCATTTATTCTCTAAAATTCAGGATATCCCTACCGTATCACTCTCTCGAGTAGGATCATGCAAGTTGTAGATGCCCAACTTTCCAAGAAGAAGCCAAACTACTTCTTTCCCAAAGCCTTTGCTAGTGAAAATATCTGCCAATTGTGCCAATGTGCCAACATAAGATGGTGCATTTAGACCTTCTTATATAGCAGCTCGAGTAAAGTGACAGTTAACTTCGATATGTTTGGTGCGATCATGAAAAACTGGATTCTTCAATGTAGACTGAAATCACAGAAAGGAGATATTGCATTTGGATGATGAACTCTCAAAATAAGAAGTAGACCATTCAACCATTTTAGTGCACATTTAATAGAACCCATAGAAAGGTACTTTGCCTTGGCGGAAGAGCATGCGACTGTATGTTGCTCTTTAGTCTTCCACGAAATTGGTGAATTCCCCCAAAAAATGAACCAACCAGTGAGTGATTATCCGGTAAGAAGACAAACCTCCCAATCTGAATCACAACAACTTGTTAAAGACAGATCATTGTCGAAGTATAACAAAATGCCTTGTTCCGAAGATTTCTTTAAATAGCGTACAACAAGTAAAGCAACATTCCAATGATTCTGTCTCGGTTCCTGCATAAACTGAGATACAATATGAACTGAGTAACCTAAGTCAGGACAAATGACAACCAAATAAATAAAACGCTCAACTAAGCATTGATAGGACTCCATATTTGAGAGAGAATGGCATGTGGCATGCGTCAATTGATCATTTTGTTCGAGAGGAAATTAAACTAGTTTGGAGTACTCCAACAGGTCAACCTTTGAGATGATATCAAGAGCATATTTTTGCTGGTACAAGTATAGGCCTGAAATATTTCTAGCCACCTAAATACCAAAAAAATATTTAAGTATACCAAGATCATTCATATGAAAAGCTTACTTAAATATGCTTAAAAATGTGTTACCGCAACAGAATCATTGCAACAAATGATCAAATCATCGACATACACTAATACATTGAACTGAACGAACCCTTTAATGTAAGTAAATAAAGAATAATAATGTCCATCTCTTCGCTCACCCATGCCAATCACAACCCTCGAACGTTGGTCATGTATAACACATAAGTTAGAATTAAATTGGACAAAACAATGGAGAACATCACCCAATTGTGAAAATCAAGATTAAATTGCACCATAATTGAGGGACAAAGAAAACATATGTATTATAGTCTCTCAATTTCACACATCACAATGTATGCTTTTAGTGGCAACTACGATTTGTCCATCTAATAGATTCACAGGACAAAATGAAACCGCTTAAATATATAATAAACAAGATCCATTGTTGGTAATGTGATGAGAGCAGCTGGTATCAATAATCCAATCAGTCCTACCACACAACCTGTTGAGAAAAAGATGCCAAACGCGACTATTGTCAATGGAGATTTTTTTCTGCCTGTTATGATGGAACCAAAACTAAACCGAATTGGGGCGAACAAATCGAGTCAAATCAAACTAGGAGGAACCAAACTCGGTATAAACCGAGTGAACCGGACCCAAACTGGGTTTAAATCGAATCGATTGAACCGAATTGAAACTAGCTGAACGAACACGAAACGTGCAAACCGAGACCAAACAGGAACTGAACTGATCGGGCGAACCGAACCAAGCAGAACCCTCTCCTCTCGATTTTCAGT